AACCTTGCCATGCTATGTTGTTAAAACAACGCCTTTTTTACATTAAACATTCTCAATTGAGGAAGGTGTAGTAAAAAGACGTTTAATGCAATGACGTTCACTCTTGACTGTCAGAGCACGACTGTCATCGTTCTCGTACAAAAAATACGAGACTGCAAAGGCTGCAACTCCACCTCACACTGTGAAACGGGCGGGATGTAGTTAATATTGTTCGAAGAATCGGTGCTGTTAACTGTGCATGTCCTGGGCCAACACAACTACATCTCAATGACGAGCGCAATCTTAATTTGATGTGCATGACCCAATACGTTACCACCTTACGCGAGTCTAAACACGCCACGAACTTGTTGCAAGCTGTAGTAAGCAGCGCGTTTCTATATTGCTCCGCCACGCGTTCTTCTTACGAGGGCGACAAATGGTCGGAGGGGGCGGCGGCGGGATGGGCGGGGTGGACAGGGCCGTCCAGGCGAGGGATGGCGAGGTGGGCGGGACAGGCGGAGGGGTGGAGGGGCGGGGGAACAGGAAGGGCAGGGAGAGGCAGGGAGGGGCAAGGAGGGGCCAGCAACGCACACTTGCCACTCCCTTTTCGTTTCGTTGCACTGCAAAAGCACTACAAGGGAGCCGAGTTTTTCACAAACTCCTTAGCAAGGAATGATTTCCAACATTGCCTACCAGGATATGAGCGTCCCAAAATGTACAAGGTTTTCGAGTTCTCATTCACATTACGACTAGTGAGTGAGAGATAGATAGAGAGAGAGAGAGAGAGAGAGAGAAAGAGAGAGAGACACACACACACACACACTACAAGATGACGAGGTCAAACCGGTATTCAACACTGGACCACGTTCTACAACAATGTCTTTGTGCAGAAATTATATAGGTAACTAGAAATGCCTGAACAAAACACTGAAATATGAGATCTGCGACTCCATATCACTTTCATCATATCTCACAAATAATATTAAATGGTGATTCGCGATGCTTCTTGACAATTTTTACAGGTCTTAATAACTTTGACGTGAAGTAAATTACTTAGTAAATAAATGAGATAGACACAACAAAAAGAGTCCGTCGAGGTTTTGAGCGGAATTTTTCATTCAAATGAAAATTATAATTTCTTGAAATATCTAATACTCCTGGTAAACGTAGAAAACAGCTGTAGAAAATCTCCTTCAGCAAAATTACAGTTGACGGATGAAGTGATTTTGTGAGAAATAAGTATTAGTAAACCAGATTAAATAATTCACTCTTGATAGTGAACATTGTGAACGTAACGAATTCAATAGTTAAATAAATCAAATATACTTAATCATTATATACACAAAATGTAACATCATGGCATTTGACCTCTACCTCAGGATATTTCCTAAAAATAACAAATGTCTTTAAATTTTTAGACAGTAGAAGGTATTCATTTATTTATGACATATCAAAATAAAGTCAACACCAAAACACAACAAAAATTGATATGTAATAAATAAATAAAATAAATTCTGCCAAAAATGTTAAAGCGACCTGTTCTTTCGAGTAAATTCAAGTTCATAAACTAAGGATATTTCACTGTCGCAATAAACTCTTGTATCGGTTTCACAGCACATCTGAGGTGGGGTGGCAGAGCAACAGACGTTGGAAGCGGGCCGAGCGGGCCGAGCGGGCCGAGCGGGCCGAGCGGGCCGAGCGGGCCGAGCGGGCCGAGCGG